TATACTGTTTCTGATATATGTAAATGATCTTCCAGAGGGTATAGAATCGTTTCTCTCAATGTTTGCCGATGATGCAAAAATTATGAGGAGGATTGAAACTGAGGACGATAGTAGGAGGCTACAAGATGACCTAGACAGACTGAGTGAATGGTCCAACAAATGGCTGTTGAAGTTCAACCCGAGTAAATGCAAAGTAATGAAACTAGGTGGTGGAAATAGGAGGCCAAACACAGGATACAGAATAGGAGATGAAGTACTTAATGAAACGAACAGAGAGAAAGATCTAGGAGTTGATATCACACCAAACCTGTCTCCTGAAGCCCACATAAAAAGAATAACGTCTGCGGCATATGCGAGGCTGGCTAACATCAGAACAGCGTTCAGGAACCTGTGTAAGGAATCATTCAGAATCTTGTACACCACATATGTAAGACCAATCCTGGAATATGCGGCCCCAGCATGGAGCCCGTACCTTGTCAAGCACAAGACGAAGCTGGAAAAAGTCCAAAGGTATGCCACTAGACTAGTCCCAGAACTAAGAGGCATGAGTTACGAGGAAAGGCTGCGGGAAATGCACCTTACGACACTGGAAGACAGAAGAGTAAGGGGGGACATGATCACAACCTACAAAATCCTCAGAGGAATCGACCGGGTAAACAAGGATAAACTATTCAACACTGGTGGGACGCGAACAAGGGGACACAGGTGGAAACTGAGTACTCACATGAGCCACAGAGACGTTAGAAGGAACTTTTTTAGTGTCAGAGTAGTTAACGGATGGAATGCATTAGGCAGTGATGTGGTGGAGGCTGACTCCATACACAGTTTTAAATGTAGATATGACAGAGCCCAGTAGGCTCAGGAATCTGTACACCAGTTGATTGACAGTTGAGAGGCGGGACCAAAGAGCCAAAGCTCAACCCCCGCAAGCACAAATAGGTGAGTACAAATAGGTGAGTACACACACACACACACACACACACACACACACACACACATACCGTGTCAGCATGGCGGACACCCCGCCTGCTATCATAGCTCATATATTATATTCCACATTTCTAACCTTTTTCTTCACCTGTACCTCTCCATCATCTATATGCAAAACAAAGTCTCTAATCCTAAGATGTGGTGACTTTTGGGAAGTGAAATATGACTGACGAAATTCAAGGGACAAGATCAGGCGCTGGGATTCAGGGATAAGGCCAAGCGCTGGGATTTAGGGACCTGTGCGATTGTACATGAAAGTGACCTCATGTGACGTTATATAAGATCAGCGACCCCCATCCCCCATCCCCCATCCTCTATCCCCCCATCCCCATCCCCCATCCTCTATCCCCCCATCCTCTATCCCCCATCCTCTATCCCCCCATCCTCTATCCCCCATCCTGTAACATTTACAGCATGACACCCTCGACTGACTTCAGATAGTAAATATTTACAATTTCATGCATATATTTGAACATTCCAACCCCCCCCCCCCATAAACGAGTTCATTAAAAACAAAAACATTTTCAATTCCCCACTATTGCACACAAATTTTATTGACATGTTTGTTTGTTTGTTTTCTGAATTATAGAATTATACGGACCTAGGGGAAGGTAAGGGGCTTAGGCGACCACTGCTGGGCAGAGTTGTGGAATGAGCTGGCTAGGTGGTGGACAGGATGGAGTGAATGGGATAGGGGAGAATGGTGGACAGCGGCAGGTGGATGGACAGACGATAGGGAAAGGGGAGGGGGGAAGGAATGGGTAGGTGGGGAGCCTTGAGAGGATGTAGGAGATAGGGGGATAGATGAGGTTGGTGTCGGGTGATGAAGGCTAGGACATCGAGAAGGGGGGACTGGTAAGAGGTGGGATGATGGTAGGCTAGAATGGGGGAGATAGAATAGGGATGACAGATGGATGGTTGCTAGGGGCAGAATGAAGAGGGAGGTGTTAGGAAGGGTGGGAATGGTTGATAATAATAATGAGCAATTAAAAAAAATGGATGAAATGAAAGAGGTACTAGAGAGGAGATAGAAAGGGGTTGATTAGAATAGGGTGAAAGCTGAAGGACAGGAGATGCAGAGGAGAAGGGGACGGCCAGGGATAGGGAACCGTAGATACATGAGCGAAAGGGCAGAGGAATAGACCGAAAAGGGATTACCCGAGGCGCATAAATTAATGGGGGAATCCAAGGATAGGAGGAGTTAGATATATTAAGACAGGATAGGATGGAACAGAAAAGCTCGGCTTGATCTATATTTTTGTGAGTGACAGAAAGAAGTGTGAAGAGGCATAGTGGAGGATAAGGAGACCATAAAGAATAGAAGGAAATGGAGACAGGCAAAGTGGAGGCACGCGAGCTCAGGAGGACGTGGTTTGGCTGCAGGAGGAAGGAAGACTTGGAGGAGGAGGAGGCAGGATGGAGGGTATTTGATAGGCAGCATTGAATACATATTTTTCCCGGAGAGTTTTATTTAAAGACTGAAAAACCTCACGTGTATGGAATTCGATAAGAGTACCTAGGTTCGCCTGGGGTGTGATACGTGAGAGAGAGAGAGAGAGAGAGAGAGAGTGAGTTAGAGGAAAAAACAGACTTAGCTTGCAAAATTGAGTATGATTGGAAAAAATACATAACTGGACTAATGGGGACACACACACACACACACACACACTCACACACACACACACACACACACACACACACACACACACACACACACACACACCAGACGCTGGACCACTCCATCAACTCACTACGTCAGAGTTGACGAAGCACCTCCTGCGTCTAGATGACGAGTCCCTCGACTGTATATCTGAAGTAAGTGGCACCATGAGGAGATGAGGCCGCGGTAATGACGGGAACGACCACGATAATGATGATGGCAATAGAGAAGGTGGCGGCGACGGGAGATAATAATGGAATTTGGAGATGAAAAAGGGATGCTGGGTGAGCATCACTGGGGGGGGGGGGGGAAGGGGGAAGATGACTATAGCCAAAAAAATGGGGATTTGTGAAAACAGCTAAAATATTACTATGGCAATGCTAAGATTAATATAACACCTATTTTTCTTATTTTTTTCTTATACTGTCCGATAACATGTTGCTCTGAGGAATGGCCCTGTATCCCTCGGTATACATTCTGCCGGTACACAGCGAGGACACTAGTATATGGTGCCTCTATCCACCAGTACACAGTGGTACTCTCCTTCAGTACCTGGGTAGGTAGGAGGAAGGGTTGAGAAGGCAGGAAAAGAAAAGAAGACAGGGAAGCTGGAGAGGTCATCCTTCAGAGGTTAATTAAGTCATGAAAAGTCTTAATAGGAAAAGCCTTTTTTTCACTTTACTGAGAGCCTAAACAGGTACAGAGAAAAGGCTACACCTATCACTACAACTCCTCTCAATTAACCCCTCAACTGCGCATCACATCCTGGGGCGTTTGATCAGTGGTGGCCATCACGTCCAGAATTATTTTAGGGAGTCCACTGAAATTTGAATCTCCCGCGGTTACACATTGGCTTCCTCAGTACGCAGACGCTATCTTGGAAAAGATCGCCAGTATATTGCCATGGCTTCAACCCAGAAGTTTAATACACAACGCTGCAGCCTCGTGTATAAAATCATATATCCCACAATACCTTGAAGCTCAGTATCAGAAAATATACAGTGATATATATATACCGAAGCTTTACACACGCTCTCGTAAAAATTATGCAAGAATCACGTATAATTGAGAAGAAATGTAAGAGTCCTTTATTTTTAATGCAATCGAAGATACAAGAAATGTCTAAGTCGGTGCTGTGAAGGTTGTGGTGTGGTCTAGCGTCAAAGAGGGCGTCCTGGAACACCGGGTGAAGGATGCTGAAGCATTATGAAGTATACTGAAGTATTTTGAAGGATACTGAAGCATTCTGAAAGATACTGAAGCATTCTGAAGGATACTGAAGCATTTTGAAGGATACTGAAGCATTCTAAAGGATACTGAAGCATTTTGAAGGATACTGAAGCATTCTGAAAGATACTGAAACATTCTGAAGGATACTGAAGCATTCTGAAGGATACTGAAGCATTCTGAAGGATACTGAAGCATTCTGAAGGATACTGAAGCATTCTGAAGGATACTGAAGGATTCTGAATCATTCTGAATTATACTGAAGCATTCTGAAGAATACTGAAAAATTCTGAAGGATACAGAAGCTTTCTGAAGAGTATTGAAGCTTTCTGAAGGATATTGAAGCTTTCTGAAGAATACTGAAGCATTCTGATGAATACTGAAGCATTCTGAAGGATACTGAAGCATTCTGAAGGATACTGAAGCATTCTGAAGGATACTAAAGTATTTTGAAGAATTCTGAAGAATTCTGAAGGATACTGAAGCATTCTGAAGGATACTGAAGCATTCTGAAGGATACTGAATCATTCTGAAGGATACTGAAGCATTCTGAAGGATACTGAAGCATTCTGAAGGATACTGAATCATTCTGAAGGATACTGAATCATTCTGAAGGATACTGAAGCATTCTGAAGGTTACTGAAGCATTCTGAAGGATACTGAAGCATTCTGAAGGTTACTGAAGCATTCTGAAGGATACTGAATCATTCTGGAGGATACTGAAGCATTCTTAAGGATATTGAAGCTTTCTGAAGAATACTGAAGCATTCCGAAGGTTGACTGATATATGTCGACGGTGAGGGTTGCAATGTGTAGTGTTCGTGCTGAGCAACACCGTAAAGATGTCGACGGTGAGGGTTGCAATGTGTAGTGTTCGTGCTGAGCAACACCGTAAAGATGGCGACGGTGAGGGTTGCAATGTGTAGTGTTCGTGCTGAGCAACACCGTAAAGATGTCGACGGTGAGGGTTGCAATGTGTAGTGTTCGTGCTGAGCAACACCGTAAAGATGTCGACGGTGAGGGTTGCAATGTGTAGTGTTCGTGCTGAGCAACACCGTAAAGATGGCGACGGTGAGGGTTGCAATGTGTAGTGTTCGTGCTGAGCAACACCGTAAAGATGGCGACGGTGAATGTTGTTACCTCAGCTCATCTTGTAAATGGTGGCAAAAAGGTTGCCATAACTCTACTGCTTCTTGCGAGGCTCCGTAGGCAGGTCTACGGTGCAAGCGTTGGCAGGGAATCCCTTCACTCCGAGACCTGTAACTCTGATTACAAAACAATCACAGTTAATTTGAGGTTAACAGTTAACACGTTAACTGAGGACAACGTAGATACAAAATCACTCTGAAGACTATTGAACTCTTCCTAATTTTGCAGTATTTAACAACGACCTTATGAGTACATAAGGCTGTGAGGTGAGCCCTATTATTGCTCTCTCACTCCTCACAACCACTGTTCCTCTGTAAACTTCCTCACAATGGGGGATCTCACCTGTAGACAGGAGCATTATTCCCACAGGTGACGAAGAGCTGGTCGAGATCGGGTCCTCCCCAGGAAACTGAGGTGGTGTCAAGGGCTGGTATGTTCACGACCCTCAAGATCTCTCCGTTACTGGGGTCTATGTTGAACACCTGTAGGGGAAGGGGGGGAGATGAAAACATATGAACAATAGGTGGAGGATATGTATACCTATGTATACCTGTGGGAGGATCTGTGGGAGGATCAATAGACATGTAAGATCAAGATTTATTTTCTTGTAGCCCCCCTTCCCTGCTAAGTTTAACCGCCTGTTATGCTACATTTATTTTCGTGTGTCTAACGAAATCTTTCCGAAATTGGCAAATGGACTTTTTAGATAATATGCAGTAAACAGAGGTATGACTGGGAAAATTCTGGACCATGGTCAAGACGTGAGTTACATTCTGCATAAGTTTTAATGAATTTGGTAGATTCTGGCTGAGAAGACCGCAGTTACCCATCGTGTCACCCTCAGCTGCCGACCCTGCCACCCATTGTGCCACCTACTGTGCCACTCACTGTGCCACCTACCTACCGTGCCCACGCCGAGGCCAGGGACCCAGATGTTACCGTCCGTGTCAATGGTCATGCCATCAGGCTTAGCCGGACTGAGTCCTGCCTCTTGGAAATCGAACACAACACGACGACCGCCTTAAAAAAATAAAAAAATAAAACACACATTACGACACATGTAAACAAATGCACCCATGCATGAATGTTTGTGTTTACGTGCACTCGATATATGGTTGTAGGTGAACAAACACACGCATGGCGAGTCCACGAAACACACAGTATTCAAATATGTTGTTCAACATTAAGTTCGGTCAGAGAACGGCACAGAATCGTACTCAGCGCTCCGGTGGGAAGATCGAAGTCGAAGGCGTTGACCTTGTACTCGAGCGTGTCGTTATAGTACATGGTTGAGTTGTCCTCGGTCCATGCCAGCCCGTTGCTAAGGGTCACCTGCGGGAGCACTGGGTTGTTGTTGTTAAAGATTCGCTACCTGGAACAAAAAGTTCCAAGTAGCACGGGCTATGGTGAGCCCGTGGTTGGGAGGTCAGCCCCCCCAGGGAATAGTTAGTGTGGACGGAAAGGGAGTACTTCATGCGGGACAGTAGTGAGGTGGTGGGATGGTGAGAGGTGAGGAGATAGTGGGGGTGGGATGGTGAGAGGTGGAGAGAATGGGAGGTTGAAAGTAATGGTGAGTCAACGATGGTGTCGTTGATGGTGGGGACGACATTGGTTAATTAATGGGGGCGACGAGGCAGAGGAGTAGCTGTAGGGATGAATGGTAGGGAGGGAAAGTAGGGTTACCTGGTTGATACCTGGTTGATACCTGGTTGATGGGGTTCTGGGAGTTCTTCTACTCCCCAAGCCCGGCCCGAGGCCAGACTCGACTTGTGAGACGTTGTGAGAGAAACTTGTGAGTTCCCAGGTTGCTAGGAACTGTTGTAAGAGAAACAATCCACCAAAACAATCAAGGTAACAAACCTATTGCTTAAGACAACATGGCGTAGAGAGAGGGAGAGAGAAAACCTTTGTACCTGCCAATACAAAACAACACGTTTGATACCTGTAATAGTCTCGCATGACGTGACCTCCAGCACTGACCTTCTCGACGACCTTGGTGATGGTTCGGTCGGTGTCGAGGCGGTAGAGGTTGCCCATGTGGTCAGGATCCTCCGCTAGGCTCATGGTTCCTGCCGACATCATGTGGTTATTGATCACCTGCGCTCTCGCAAAGCTTTTCTTGCCATGTTCACTGTTTCAAATGGAATTCAGCAGCTATCTTAGCGCATTATATTCGTTCTCTCCAACCTGTAGTGCTGTTCCACCTGTTCCCTCCCACCTGTAGTGCTGTTCCACCTGTTCCCTCCCACCTGTAGTGCTGTTCCACCTGTTCCCTCCCACCTGTAGTGCTGTTCCACCTGTTCCCTCCCACCTGTAGTGCTGTTCCACCTGTTCCCTCCCACCTGTAGTGCTGTTCCACCTGTTCCCTCCCACCTGTAGTGCTGTTCCACCTGTTCCCTCCCACCTGTAGTGCTGTTCCACCTGTTCCCTCCCACCTGTAGTGCTGTTCCACCTGTTCCCTCCCACCTGTAGTGCTGTTCCACCTGTTCCCTCCCACCTGTAGTGCTGTTCCACCTGTTCCCTCCCACCTGTAGTGCTGTTCCACCTGTTCTCTCCCACCTATAGTGCCATATTCCACCTGTTCCCTCCCACCTATAGTGCCATATTCCACCTGTTCTCTGTCACCTATCGTGCCATATTCCACCTGTTCTCTGCCACCTATCGTGCCATATTCCACCTGTTCCCTCCCTATAGTGCCATATTCCACCTGTTCTCCCCCACCTATAGTGCCATATTCCACCTGTCTACTCACCCACAAAGAGCCTGCCGACGGCGTCGCACTTGCCATCGTTGAAGCTGTTGTCCGGGAGGTCCTGCTCGACGGTGGCCAGGAGGCGGAGGTCGTCGGCAGTGACGGCCAGGTCCTGGGTGGGGTCGGGCCAGGTCACGGCCACCAGACTCAGACCAACACTGACCACGAAGGTGTGAGCCGGTCCGGTCTTGTGAGGCACCACCATCGACACGGGGCCGCCTTCTGCAGGAGGGACAAGGGCGCCCGGGTGTATAGTGGAGGGCCGGACGACTCAAACAGAAAACGGAACAGTACGTCACTTTTGTGAGTCGATTTCATTTCAAATTACGTCCAAATTTGGCCATAGTGCGCATACGGGCCAAAAGTGACGTTATTTTTAAGAGGACGGGTTGGTATAGTAGTAGTAGTAGTAGTAGTAGGCATCCATCAGTCTCAGGAGACTATGGAGTTGCACTCTGGTTGTCAAAGCCAGGGTAGGGTGATTCGGGGGGAGAAGCTGTTACCCAGGCAGCAGGTCCCTCATCTTCCCGGGTGTATAGGTATTATTGATTATATGTTCAGTCTATTGCATTCTTCATATAGCGGCTTACAGTCACAGAAAGCGCGTAATACAGCTGTTTTAGCCAAACTAGTTTGGTTAAATAGTATGAACCCAAAGCAGCCCATTTAACCTTACGAGTCCGATGCGTAGAAAACGTCAATATTACGGGGCTCTTGTATTTTTGTCTCTACGTAGCAAATTTAACGAATCGATCAAATCCGTAACAAAAAAAATTGCAGCGTATTAGGTGATGGGACGTCTTTGATTACGGACTGATTGATTAAGAGCTTCGAGAGACCTGCGTTTCTGTTCTTAGTCATGCAATCATTCCCGGTGTTAGTGCCTTTTGCTCGTTAGGTCAAACACGTGTTCTCCCACACTTGGAGTTTCTTCATACAGATAATTAAGATCCAGGTCAAGATTGTATCCATCAGTTATTTAATTGCTACGACAGATAAGGTAATTATGCTACGTGAAATTGGGGAGTGAATGGGTGTGATTAGGTTGCCAGAAGGCATACGGGAAGTTGCCAGATGATTGGAAGAGAATAATCACGCTGTTTTGTATATGTAAATCAAAGTGAACGTAGCACATTAGTACATGTACGACCCGGCGAAGCGTTTGTCTACATAGCGTAATAGGATGCATTTATGGTAGAATAGTGTATGAACGAGAATAGAAATAAATTTATAAAGTGGATAACGAAGTGGTTTTCATAGTGGACGAGGCATTTGTATTGAGACACCTGCATGCTGTAGGTGAGGCTACTCACCTGTGTGGAGCCTGGCGAGAGTACACGTCCCAATGTGCTTGTGCTGTGGCGGAAGTTGTTGTCGTAGATTCAGCTACTGGGAACAAAAAAGTTCCAAGTAGCACGGGCTATGGTGAGCCCGTAGTGGACTTACCTGGCACAGGAGCGGGGGGCTGTAACTGTGTGGCGGGAAGGTATACTCACCTATATGAAGCTTGGTGTGAGTATCGGTCTCTGGGTGGTACCGCCTCACCAGCTGCTCGTAGAAGTCCACAAAGTAGAGTGCCTGGTCCTCCACTGACCAGTGAGGTCCCTCACCGAAACCAATTGTACCTGTCACCGGCTCCACTTTGTAATCTTCCGACATCTGCCACGAGGAGTGTGAGAGGTGAATCAGATATCTACGAGGAAGTAGGGTGAGAGGTGAATCAGATATCTACGAGGAAGTAGGGTGAGAGGTGAATCAGATATCTACGAGGAAGTAGGGTGAGAGGTGAATCAGATATCTACGAGGAAGTAGGGTGAGAGGTGAGTCAGATATCTACGAGCAAGTAGGGTGAGAGGTGAGTCAGATATCTACGAGCAAGTAGTGTGAGAGGTGAGTCAGATATCTACGAGGAAGTAGGGTGAGAGGTGAGTCAGATATCTACGAGCAAGTAGGGTGAGAGGTGAGTCAGATATCTACGAGCAAGTAGTGTGAGAGGTGAGTCAGATATCTACGAGCAAGTAGGGAGAAAGGTGAGTCAGATATCTACGAGGAAGTAGGGTGAGAGGTGAATCAGATATCTACGAGGAAGTAGGGTGAGAGGTGAATCAGATATCTACGAGGAAGTAGGGTGAGAGGTGAGTCAGATATCTACGAGCAAGTAGTGAGAGGTGAGTCAGATATCTACGAGCAAGTAGTGTGAGAGGTGAGTCAGATATCTACGAGCAAGTAGTGTGAGAGGTGAGTCAGATATCTACGAGCATGTAGTGAGAGGTGAGTCAGATATCTACGAGCAAGTAGTGTGAGAGGTGAGTCAGATATCTACGAGGAAGTAGGGTGAGAGGTGAATCAGATATCTACGAGGAAGTAGGGTGAGAGGTGAGTCAGATATCTACGAGGAAGTAGGGTGAGAGGTGAGTCAGATATCTACGAGCAAGTAGAGTGAGAGGTGAGTCAGATATCTACGAGCAAGTAGGATGAGAGGTGAGTCAGATATCTACGAGCAAGTAGAGTGAGAGAAGTGAGTCACACAGCTACCACAAAATGTTTAAATCGTGTGAATCTGTCTCAAAATAATAAAGTCAATGTCCCCCCACCCCTATTGTTATTTCAAACTCATCTGATGATTTTACCAACATTTATTCACTCCAATTATGACCGAGGTTCTATAGCCCTACCAACATCCACAAAAATTCAACGTAAATATTAAACTTTGTAAATATCGAACCTTGTTGAGCTGTTTTACAGGTCTAGATGAGACTCCGGGGAACGTCGAAATGATATCATGGAAAGTCAGGCTGCATTAATATACAAATAACTCCACCCCACCCCCCCCCCCCCCCCCCTGAGTTGTTTCCACCAACCACTTTCGGTAAAATAACGCAATTTATGGCTATTATCTCCAGTGCGAATGAGTCACGCAAAAAAAATCATATTCAAAGTTGTCACCTGTGATATCATATCTAAAGCTGCGTGACACCTTCGACATATTTGATAGGAAGAGATAAGAATGTGTCTGTTATCTTTTGATAGTCTCTGGGGCAGCATTATCACTCCCAGGGAATGGTGATAGGGAGTCAGGTGTGAATTCTACACCTGGTCTATATCCTCTTGGACTGGTCGATATACAGCAAAAGTCTCGCTTCTTGCAGTAGGCCGGTGTTTGATCCCTGAGGGTCCGAAGTGGTTGGGCACTGTTCCTTCTCTCTGTCCTCATATTCCAGCTTCTTGTCTCTCATACCACTTCCAAGAGCTATGTAATCATAATAGCATCTCACCTCACACCTTAGAGGGTAACATTTAAGTAGTACAGATCAACGTTTTCATGTTGTCTGTCAATCAGATTACTACCAGGAAGAGAATAGCTGTCAATTTCCAACAAACCCTCCTTATGTTGCTCCCAGAACTTTGTTAATGTCAACATAGACCTCCTCATATTTCTCCCAGACCCTGGCTATTACAACATGCACATACTAACATAAACTATAACAAATAGAAGGTTAATTACTCTGCAGTCTAAGGATTTATTGTGTGTAAACAATTCCTCTAGCTTTCCATACCTCGGGATTTGAAATTAAGTTAGAGTATAAACAGCCTAACTTCCTGAATACTGCTAGGAGGTCATCCTTCTGTATGAGATAATGGTTGGAACACTCTCTCTCTCTCTCTCTCTCTCTCTCTCTCTCTCTCTCTCTCTCTCTCTCTCTCTCTCTCTCTCTCTCTCTCTCTCTCTGGTTCTTTTAAAAGCCCCGGCACTGTGCAGCGTGTCCCTGGCTACAATGTTCATGATCACCATTACTATTCACTACCTGGGAGGGTGGAGAAGGATAGGCCTAACGTGACAGCTGTGTGTGGTGTTGGTGGTGAGGGTGGTGGAGAGGGGCAGAAATGGTGGTAGTAGTGATACTGGTGTTGGTGGTGATGGTGGAGTGGGTGGAAGTAATGATGTTGGTAGTGGTGTTGGTGGTGGTAAGGGTGAAAGTGGTGGTAGTGATGATGCTGGTGGTGGTGGTGCTGGTGGTGATGGTGACGACGGTGTCCATCGACAAGAGTGAGGCTGGTGAGGGGTTCAGGCTAGTCAAGAGCAGCTCATCACAGGATTTAACATAACCGGAAGATTGAGAATGAGATAGAACAGGATAGTGAGGTAGGGAGTGAGTGAGTGAGGGGGGAAAAAGGGGCAATGAGAGAATGAGAGTAGGGATGGAGGGAAAGGAAGGAGGGAAGAAGGAACGGAACACAGAAACCCGGAACAGCCACAGAGCTCCTTCTCTCCGTGATATAAGAACCAGCACCAAGCTATGTGAAATTTGCTACAACAGGAAACACATATAGGTCAAAATGGCTGCACTTTAAGCTCTATACAGCTCTAGCTTATCTTTGCTATTACACCCTTACGTGAACCTCTACAGACTCTAGCCCCTATGACTCTAACTAGTTGATGGCTCTCTTCCATCAAAAATGAGAGAGAGGTGCATATATTTGATATACAATTAGGACCGATTTTTTTTTTCCAAAAATAATGGTTGCTCACAATGTCTCATCTATCCAGGCTCAGCTAATCGCCCTAATAATAAATCTAGAATTTGTAGAAGGGATCAAGCATAAGGGAAAACAGTGATTTAACGAGGATTCAAGAGCTAAATTCCTCCATACTCATGGCAAATATCAGTTGAATCTTGACGGGCATTTGATGAAAATCAATAAAGCCGAGAAAACATGAATAAAAAGTGATAATGATAAGGTTCCAATAGATCCAATGGAAGAACAGACAAGCTGAGAGATTAACGTATTATAGATCATATTGAATTCTGCATCGTCTTTTTTTTGCAACTGAATTCTGCAATACCCCCCCCCTCACTCCCCTCCCAGACTACTCACCACCACAGAGCCTTGCAACGTGGAAAATTTACTCAAAGGGCCGGAAGAGTTGGACAGTTAATCTGTGAGGTTGTGCACGATGCAATTATAGTTGATTTTGTGCACATTCGTCTTCCCTGTGGGCGTCGAGGAGTCTGATACATTATGGCTCTGTCTCTGATACAATAAGGCTCCGTTTCTGATCCAATAAGGCTCCGTTTCTGGTTCAATAAGGCTCCGTCTCTGATACAATAAGGCTCCGTTTCTGATTCAATAAGGCCCCGTTTCTGATACAATAAGACACCTTCTCTGATCCAATAAGACTCCTCTTCTGATCCAATAAGACTCCTTCTCTGATAGAGTACAAGACTTTGATTCTGGTGCAAGTATTAGTGGAGACTCTAGACTGAAACATCAGACGGAGAGAGAGAGAGACTCCGTCTCTGAGAGAGAGAGAGAGGAGAGAGGGAGAGAGTGAGAGAGAGAGAGAGAGAGAGAGAGAGAGAGAGAGAGAGAGAGAGAGAGAGTACTACACCATTTGGACCCCATCCCCCTCGACCATATTACTGTTTATCTGAGACTTTGGGCTGCTCAGAAACGTCTCATGTGAGCACAGTAATAAAATCACTTAATTATTTTATGCTGTTAAGACATTTTTCCCTGCACCTGCAAGATAGCGTGAACTTGTGTGAACGTGGTGAATGTCGCTATCTTTGCTCAGTTATCTGTTCACTTGAGATAGCCAAGTGTCAGTTACTGCTGCGTACAAGTGACCGGATCAACAATTGTATTCAACGGCAGCAATGGTCTATTGCTGTCTATTGTACCCCCAGACACTCCTGCGTCTGTGTTCAATAGACTGGATGAATAAGTATATCTATACCTCTGGATACAAGTGTCAGGAAGAACAAAATCCAGTTGAATTTGGATTTAAGTATTAGGATAAACAATTACAGTTGGCTTTTCTCTATTTCCCGCTAAACACACACCGAAACTACGACGTTGGTACAACGTTCGAACACGTTTTAACACCTAACCAGTTATAACAACCAATATAGGAAGTTGTAACAACGTTCTAATACGTCATAAACACGTTAAGACAAGATGTAACAACTTTATTACAAGTTGTAACAAGTGGAAAATAGAGACAGTTTCGGTGTGTGTTTCCAGGGTAGAAGGCTCTGTACATTTTGCCATTGGAAGATGTTAATGCTGATATTTCAAGCTGCTGTTGTACATGCTATACTGTGTGTATAGCAGTACATAATGCTATACACGCTTTCGCTTCCTAATTGGTTTCCAACCTTACTCATGATGACCAGACCACCCACTAGAAGGTGAAGGGACGACGACGTTTCGGTCCGTCCTGGACCATTCTCAAGTCGATTGTGAACCATTCTCAAGTCACAATCGACTTGAGAATGGACCATTCTCAAGTCACAATCGACTTGAGAATGGTCCAGGACAGACCGAAACGTCGTCGTCCCTTCAACTTCTAGTGTGTGGTCTGGTCAACATACTTTAGCCACGATATTGTGACTCATCGCCTGCAACCTTACTCATCTTCGTGATGTCACTCATCGACTTATGGGGTCAAAAGACGCTGTGTGCGGATGATGTCTACTATGTCAGATGTAAATAGTGAATAATTGTGTATGTGACATCAGTGATCGGACTCTGTACGATTTGTTGGTCATTCCCATTACTGGAACTACTGCTACGGCAAATTATTCACATCAAACGCAAAGGACTTAATCCGAACGCAGCGTCGTTCGGATTAAGTCTCAAAAAACCCTCACAAATCAACAAATTATTTACTCACTGTGCCAGCCAGCTGATAATTACCGTATTCTGACCACCGTATAATGAGGTAGTGAACAACAACAACTCATCCGTAATGTCTCACGTTGCATCTCTAACAAGTAAACAATAGGCAATTAGTATTTGCAACCACAATCATTTCCTTTCGAAGGCTGAACTATGGTGGGGGGGTTTTGGATATATATTTCTGTTTTGGCTATGGAGCGCGTGTAATTATCCTGCGCCCCGAGGAAAATACGCAATCCGTGACGAGAAGGGCTTCATAAATTACCAAGGAGGTGGGTGGAGGAGGGAAGACTACACCAGGTGTCTTCCTGCCACGGCTGGGGTTGGCTCCTTGGGGCCCCTGCAAGACGAATCACCTGTCAACGCTTGCCTCTTCGCCGATGCTTCCCCTCCTCCTCCTCCTCCTCCTCCTTCCTCCTGTACTACTCCTTCCTTATCCAAATCTTGTTTTTCCCTCTTCCTCCTTCTGCAGTTCACCTTTCGTATCCAAGTCTTTTTCCTCCTGCTTCACTTCTTCCTCCCTATCCTTGTCTTCTCACTACTTATTACTAGGGCTATTCTTATACTTTCTTGCAAATATTTATACATACATTTTATTCTTTTCTTTCTCCCATTTCTGTTATATTTTTTCTTCTACAAATCAAAGTTGCTTTACGTAACGTTTCCTACAGCATTAATTTTTTTAATTGCTGTATTTCCTCATAATCTCAACATTTGTTCAGAATTGTGTCTATTAGTAGAGAATTGTTCACAAAAGAGAGTGTTTATCGAGTGGCTTATCCCACAGGAAGGGACATATACAGGAAGGTACATATATGACTAAGACGTGTACGCCAAGGCAGGGCATATATATATATATATATATATATATATATATATATATATATATATATATATATATATATATATATATATATATAATACACTGGTGTAACCCCCTCTTCCCCTCTTCACTGGGTATATAAGCTGGGAATTTTCTCTAGTCCTTGACTATGTCCAAGGACTAGAGAATATGTCCAAGGAAGCTTTCCATATAGCCCTCAATCACTTTGTTGTAGGTAAGGCAGTTCATCGACTGTTCACGCTCCA